CAAAAGCTAGAAGCCAATTCAATAATCTTCAGTAGGAGAGGTGGTGGTGATACCTTTCCCTAGAAATATACTGCTTGACTCTTTCAGTTAGACTATTTTTGGTTTTTACTTATGTGTCAACTCAACTCATTGCCTTTGAGTTGGAACAATCTCATAACTGCCCTTTCAGGGAGTTTACAGAAGCTGTCACTCCTACAGGAGAAGGCAGCCCATCTTTTTCTTGTGGAGAAACTGGGAAAGTCAAACTGCCTGCTTTTGGGTTGTCAGTGGAACTCAAACCTACTCGGCCGCCAGAGCTCACTTATACTTACACTTAACCTATACTGACACAACTCATAGCTGTAAATCTCATGGGAGGAGATTGCTCATCTTTCTCCCATGCAGCAGCTGGTGAATTTCAACCACGTGTCTTTGGGTTGGCAGTGCAATTCCTTACCACTAAGGCACCAGAGCTCCCTATACTTATGTATAAAATGGTTTTACTTTAAAAATATGTAAATATTTTAAAAAATCAGAAATATCTGCCTTCCTAGAAAAAAAAATCAATATAAGTAGTTAAAAGTACTCCTCTGTTTATTCTAGGTTGAACTGTGCCCCTCCAAAAGAGTATACTGTAAATGTTTTTAACCCTGTATTTGTTGTTAACATCTTATTTGAAAATGGATTTTCTTTGTTATATTAATGAGATAGTATTAGGGTCGGATATGTCTAAAATCAATCTCTTTTCAGGTAAAAATACTCTACTTGTTATTGAATCTGAACCAACTCACAGCTGACCCGCCACTGGGTTTCTGAGGCTATAAAGTACACAGGAAGAGATGGTCCATCTTTCTCCCAAAAAGTCACTGAAAGATTGGAACTGCCAGAGATTCAGCCTTTGACTTAGCTGTGCAACACCCTATGGCCTATGCCATCAGAACACCCTTACAGAAAAATAAAAAGAAAATTAAAAAGAAAAGAAACTGAAAAAACAAGCAGATGGGAGAGAGGTGTACACCACATAAACTAGTCATTAAATATCTCCACCTCAGGTCCAACAGAGAGCTAACATTTTGAATTCAGACTCTAACATCCTAAACTATAAAAATAAATTTGTTTATTAGAGGAATCCATTTGTGATATTTCTGTTATAGAATATTAAATAACTAAGACACTTCTCCTGTTACCCACTAGTCTTAACAGGCATAACTTATAATAGTTTAGTGTATATTTTATAAGTTATTCCTATTTTATAAATCAATATACATTTTTAAAGTGAAATCTTAATTTATATATTGGTTTAAGTTTGCTTTTTTCCCCCTCAGTAATATGTTAAGAATATATCTAAAATAAATAAATAAAATTTTAAAAAAGAATATATTTAAAAGTTGTATCATAAAGCTCTACCTAATTTTAAACACTGGCTGCAAAATATTACAGGTGTACAGATCTATCATAATTTATTACTCCCCATTTGTTGGACATACATTGTTGTTGTTAAGTACTGTCAAGCTGTTTGCAACTCTTAGCAACCCTATATACAAGAGCTCTGAACCCTGCTCTATCCTGAGACAACCTCATTATCTCTGATGCACCTACCCCCACTACCCCAGTCACTGAGTTAATCCATTTCATCCAGGGTCTTCTTCTCCTGTGCTGTCGCATAAGTTGCTTCAATTGTTTTTCCCTCACATGTTAATACTTTTTTTTCTTAAAGTGTTAACATTTTTAAGGGAGTGCCTATGTATGAATATGTACATACTGAGACAATATATTGTTCTTCTTGCTAGGTGCCATTGTGTGGAGTGCTACCCATAGCAACCTTATGAACCACAGATCTGAGCCCTGTCATATCTGTCCTGTGCCATCTTCACACTTTCTGACATATAAGACCAACTGCAGTAGTTACCATGTGAATTCACCTGACCGAGGGTCTTCCTCTCCTTTGCAGATCTCTACCTTTCTGAGCATCATGTCTCTCTTCTAGGAATATCCCCTTTTAGCAACATCCTCAAAATTAAGCATTAGATATTTATGTTAGATATTAAAAAAATTATCACAGGTATTAATGATTCCCAGAGAAGAATTTATGAATACTTCCTGAACCCTAGTATGCTACTGTTCCAGGGCCAGTCATGACTACCATATACAAACTTCTGAAATACTTTTTACTATTCAAAAAAATCTTCTTACGTTTCCTCCTTATTCTTCCTATTGCAAAAATGAAATAGGCATGGACTCCCAAATTGGCGATAGCAGAATGCTGTTAGTTTTGAGTCTCCCTATTCTTTATTCACAACTATGTAACGAGTAAGAGTTCACTACAAACCAGACATAGTGTAAAGTACAAGAAATCAAAAGATGGAAGGATAAGTCCCTTCTCTTAAAATGATCGCTTTAGATCACCATGATACTGTAAAAGTGTTACATGTCCAAAGGAAATATAGGTTTCAGCAAGTATCAGTGGATAAATCTAAAGGGCTAAAGTTCAGTATCGTAGGATGTCATGATGATACAATGTGGAAGTTATATTATGATCCCCCATGATCCAGATAAACCAAAGACTTGCAGGAGGATTAAGATGAAATGTGATATTTCCTAATCCTATCATAACCCTAATCCAATGGAAGGGCAGTTCCCCTAGGGTATAGCCTGGAACTCCTTTTATTTCACTGGAGATAAGAAGAGGAGGAATGTATGTCTAAGGGAAGGATTCTTCATACCTACCACTAAGAAATAATGGCCATAAAGAGTGATTATTTTTAGACCTAGGCCCTGCAAGATGAAACTCTTTGATATTTGGGAAGCCCAGGGACATGAAAGCCTCTACAGAATGCTAGGTCCACAAATGCTAAAGAAAGCAAGTGCTTTCCTCCACAACTAACAGAGTCTTCTAGAGCTGTTATCTGGTATCCTGAACTTGGACTTCTAGCCTCCTAAATTGTAAGAAAATGAATGTGTTTGGTAAAGTCATCCACTTGTGATATCTCTTATAGCACTAATAGATCACTAAGACATGGGGAATACAATTATTAAGAGTCAATTCTGTCATAGAACCAGGAAGAGAAGTACACTGGAATTTCATATATTTAAGATTCCTGTCCCTTTTCCACCCTTTCCCATCTCTTTCCACTATTCTCAGACTTAGTAACTTGTTTTAGTTTCCCTACAGCATACAGGAATTGAGACTAGTCAGTCATCTTTTATCATCAAGGATCAGGAAATAATCTATATAGTACAAAGTATGAGAATA